ATTTCTAGGATGGGGCAAGATGTGTATAATTTCATAGGAAACCAGGGAGTAAGAGGAATTTGAAAACAGAATTGTATCAGCTCATTGATAGGTAAGTAAAATTGGACTGGATTATTGCTCTAGTTATTGGAGGAAAAGCGTGGCAAGTAAAGCGACCAGAGCTCAACAGCAGACTTCAATATCTGGCTTAACATGTGGTATTCTAAAAGTTTTTAGATATGTTGCATGTAGCTTTTCTTTACAAAATAGATAATTTGCCACTCCAGACAAGATCAGCCTCCAACAAAGGCTTTTTGTCTGAATTGAAGCCAGGAACTGGATGGACTTGAGAAGAAGGAAGGAAAGGATCATATTAGGTTTGATGCTCTGCTTGGTACATTTTATGGTGGATCCAGGTTATCTGCTGAAGAACATCTTTCAGCTTGATTGAAAGCTGAGGTGACAGCATTTCCTTAATTTAGACCCGTTCTGTTAAGATAGGGAAATAATTTTAATTTAATTTTAATAATTTTAATATATAGTGATTTAAAACTTCAGAATATCTGAACTCTGTAAACTGCGCATTACAGATGACAATACACTTTTCCCACAACAGGTTGAAAAGGCATATGTATTCAGTGCTGAGATTTAATTATACCATCTAGCTTTCCATATAGAAAAGCACAGGTTATGCTCTGAGGCGTGTGGATTCTGGGACGAGGTTCTGTGTGGACCAGTCCAAGTCCAGCACGGCTCACACTGCATCAAAGCTGAGGTGTTGGCTGCTCTGTTGGACTGTTGATGTCTCTGCGCTGTGCTTCTCAGCTCTCTGATTTGCTTGGCTGTGCTGTGCTGCTTGGCAGTCATACTCGGTTGGCTCTGTGTGCCCAGGCTATGCAGCACCAAAGGGATGAATCTTCCCTGAACCCTGCACGCAGTGGTGTGTCGTGCTGACGCAGGACTCGCTTGAGATGCAGGCAGACTTGGGGTTGGTTCATGGAAAAACTGTCACAGTTGTCCACCTCATGCTGTTTCCAGACTGTAGCAGATGGATCCTAGTGCTGGTTTGACAGATAAGTGGCTCAGGTCTGCCAGAATTTGAGCTTGTACTCTGAGTAGCACAGGAGACGTTAGACTGCTTTATGGGCTCGTGATGGCTGTAGAAGCAGCACTGTGCCAATGTAGTTGTGCTCTGTAGAAATTAAATAAATTCAGCCAGACCCCAAGATGCCTCAGCATTAAGCCAGTTTGGTTGTCTGCATGTTTGATAGACAGCTCAGGTGATTGAGAGTTTACTGTACTTCTGCTGCATATGTTATTAGTATTGTACATAGATATTTTTTGTTTATTTCTGTTTTCAAAACAGACCCACTTTGTTGTAATAAGACCAAGTTATTCACCATATCAGATTGGTCAAAATTCCTTTTACATAGATTATTGGTCAATACCTGGTCAATACCAGGTGAGGGAAATTAAGGAAGCATGTACTGCTGTGAGATGTCCAAAATGACTTATGAGCAGGAAGGTATTGTGTAGAGCTCTGGGAGAGGGAAATGACTTGGGGCAGAAGTTCCAGATATCATTTGGCCTAGTGCGCTGTGTGTGTTCTTGAATGAATAGTTTTCATCTCTAGGCATGTAAATTGCTGTGCTATGAAGCTGGTTTTTTAATTAGTATTATTCTTTAAGAATGCCAGCAATGAAAACTAGTCCATTCTTCTCAGTATTAAATATTTGCTCCCTTTGAGAGCATCAGTGTTGAATGAGTTTCTGCACACAAAACCTAAATAGACGGGTCTCTGCAGCGTCTGTAAATATACCTTCTAAACCAGCAGCTAGGTCAAATCCTGTAAGATAAAATGTAGTCACATCCTGCAACAGGGGGAATAGAGTTAAAATGATGACATCCTTATTGTTTAGCATTAATGGGAATTATAGGGAAGACAAAAACTGTGTCCTTCAATGTTTGTATTACTGTCTGTTGGCTTCTTAAAACACAAAAATGTGAATTTTCCTTATTTTTTAAAGGAGATTATGAAATATGTATTTGTTTATAGAGCATCTGTCTAAATACCTGTTAGCTCAGGTGCTCTTAAATGTACTCAAAAAGCAAATTACTGTAAATATATTGATGAAATAAAAGGTGATGTTAACATTATCTGTATCTACTTAATCTGTAGCAGTGTATTACAAGGAGTCTTTAACTAAATGATTTTGAAAACCAGTAATTTAAAATGTTGTATTGTGGCAAATCATCAAAATCAATTTCCAGTTACGGGAATAGATTTTCTTACATTTATCTTCTCTGTGAGAAAGCCTTCTCTGTATGAATTCCTTCATGCTTGAATGACGTGTTTCAGCTACGGCTAAATCATGAACAATTCTATCAGGTTAAAGCTTCATGAGTGGTATAGTTGTCTCCTGAAGGCTGCACAGCTTGCAGAGTGCTTGGTTGCAGTTCAGTAGCCCCTTTTGAGTGCTTGGGGGGATGGGGGATGGGGGATGGAACATTTGAAAGACACTCTCAGTCTCAAGAGACATGAATTTATTTTTTTCTCAATTTTTTAACGTAAAAACATTGAATGACTCATTTAAGAAATCTGGAAGTGACAACGAAAAGGATACATTTTAGAATATAGATATAACTGACAGTTATAGAAGTAATTGACAACAAAAAGATGGATGTTTAATTGAGAGGAATAAAATAACTGAGTGGAATTCCTTGTCACAGCAAAACCATATAGAACCTCTTGATTCATTTTTAGTGCAATTTGCCAAACGCGATTCCTCTCCATTTTTTGGTGTTTTTTTTTTTTTTAACTGACTTCTGTTCCTTGTGGTAAAGATCTTTTTTGTCAGTCTCATTTGTTTAATGGTACTAGAAAAAGAACTTCTAAACCTAGGACTTTAGAACTAAGCTTAATTTCCCAGCTGTACTCTAATAGAAATTATCTAGTTTGCCCTCAGGAATTGAAATTGTTGTAAATTGAGAGCTCCGAAAATAGTTGGCTGAGAATTTTTTTTTCCCTGTCTACCCCTTTTTAACAAGTTTCCATGGTCATGGTGTTGTCCACAGCCCTGGGCAATAATTAATTCTGTGTTGAGAAGTTCACTGCTGTCTTACTTCGTAAGTAACATGTCAGATTATTCTCTAAGGTCACTACGTAGTAATGATGGGATTGTCACTTGGCTATCGCTAGGAATATTAACTCCCTGTATCCCTGTCTCCTGGAGCAATATTCAATTCAAGACAGATGATCACTTTTGTTTATGTCACGAGTGTTTTCCACCTGAAATGATAAGCTTGTGCATCAGTTACACCTTGGTTCTTCTTGCTTTGTTATGAACTACTCTGACAAACGGTTGAAACAGTTCTGAGGCAAGTTTTCTTAAAAATGTCCTGTGTACTATGTTAATGGACACAATTGTAGTTCATTGAGTCATTTCGGTGATTTTGGACGCTGCTGTGTGTTTTCCAAGGTCCTAGTTGCAATGCTCTCCTGAAAAGCCTGTAGTCGTGTGTTTGCCAGTCGATGCAAGTTGGGTAGTATTCACCAAGTGATCTGCTGTTAATCTTCATCTCTCCATGAGTTAGCGTGGGCTTAGTTCATGGGCGGCTATGTGTTAGTCTAGTTTTTACCCCAACATTCTATTGTGTTGACATTTTTAATAGTCTTTATTTTTGCTTTAATTCATTAAGAACTTGCTGTGAAGGCTCCTGAAATGTCAGCTGGTTTGTATTAACTAACTGCCTTTCCCACACTTTGTGGATTCTTGTAACTTCGTTTTCACTCTGTAACATGAACTATTGCAATCATTACTGAAAATATAACTTGCTAGTAGGAGCTGCCTTCATTTGCTACTTTTGTTATTCTGCTTGGCACTTCACCTAAGCAAGAAGTGCCAGTAGCACAGTCCTGTAGGTTGGGATAAATGCATATGCGTAACAGCTGATAGCTTCTGTTCCTTTAATACCTGCTTTGTATTTTCAGAGTATCACAGTGCATATAATTTGTGCTATATAATTTTGCTATTTAAAAAAACTGAACACCACAACCTAACGAAACCCAGGAGCTTGGCAGGATAAACATTCTTTTAGAGAAGAAATTTGCATCTTCAAAGTCTTAATAGAATCATAGAACCTTCATTTTCATACGTCATGACTTAAAATTTCTTAATTCCAAAATCTCAAAATAAAGAAATACATTTGCACTGGAAAGAGTAAAATGTTTCATTTCACATTAGATTCATTGTATTCCAGTACAAAATAAAAATGAAGCTATTTCAAAATAGTATTTCAGAAAATGTAAAAATAATAAACCATTGAAACTCTTTTGCCTGCTGTTCCTCTTCTCGCCCTGGCTTTTAATTGGGATCAAAACTTGGAAATGAAACCTGTGCTATGCATACTGAGGGAATGTGGTCAGAAGTTTCTGTTGCCAGCTTTTGAAGTACATATGTTCTGACAGCTATATCCTACTATTGTTAGCGCAGTGTATTTTTTTTCCAGTGAACAACTCGATAAAAATGATGCATAACATAAAGATACAGGATCTGTCATTGCTTTCAAGGAATTTGTTTGAGCTGAAAGTGTGTAAGTTTTACTCTATAAGGCCAACAGTGGCCTTACCTGTGAGACCTGAAAGGTCAGCTTCTTCCCGTTTGTGATACGGATTGTATACTTCAGTACTGCAGTACGCTCAGAAAAGGACCCCTTCATCATTTGAAGGGGCTGGGATGGAGTGGTAAAGTTGAGTGGCAAAGTATTCCCTCTGGAAGCTTCATCTTTTGGAGTTCATTCCATGTCTGGGTATGACAACTAGAAGAGGGCACGTTGCAAAGTCTTGTTTCTAAATGCTTAAAAAAACCCAAACAAAAGAAAACAAACACTTGTTGATAATGCAAGTAAGTGAAGCAAAAGGCTGTAATGGGTTTAAATTTGATATGCTATTTTAATGAAGTATTAGCAGCAAGATAAGTTTTAGCAGTACTTTTTCTTATAGTGATTGTTAATAACTGAAGTGTAGAGAGTTTGAGACTGTTGTTGTAAAGTCTAAGCATTATGCGTATCTATGTATATGTGCACACAGGAAACCTCGACCTGTTTCTCAGCTGGTTGCACAACAGGTTCCTCAGCAATTCGTGCCCCCTACACAATCAAAGAAAGAGAAAAAAGACAAAGTAGAAAAGGAAAAAAGTGAAAAGGAAACAACAAGCAAAAAGAACAGTCATAAGAAAACCAGGTAAAAATTTTAGAAACTTTGGCAGTATTGGTGAAACATAATTTTAAACTAAAGTAAGAAAATGCTCTGTGATTTTACTGTTTTGTAAGTGCTGTGGCAGACTGTCAACAATAAGGCTAAATATTTGTGTGTGAAGTTTCATTATTTTAGGATGCCTATTAAATGTGCAGAAAACCTGCAGTTTGTAATTTTGACCAGAAGATGGAGACCAGCTGAATATAGAGAGGACTTGAGTATTTTTGTTAAGGGTTAAGGGTATTTTTGTTAACAGTATTTCTCACACTGTACAAAACTGTAGATAGACAAACAGATGATACTAATCTCTGGAAAAAAGAGGGGACAATAGTGACTAATTTTCATGCAAAATAATAGGAGAGAGAGAGAGAACCAATACTGCAGAAGAGTGGGAAACTAACATGGTTATTGCTGTCCTTACAGAATTGGAATAAATTTTGAAAGGCTGAACTAGAGTATAAATTAATGTGACGGGATAAGGCATATATATTACCCAGTGATAAAAATCTCTATGTTACATCTGGGATGCTGAAGAAAGCCTTGGACTCTTAGAACTGAGAACATGAAGTATTACGCTACAGACAAGGAGCTGTAAAAGCCTTGATCTTGCTGTAAGACCATGTGGAAGGAAGATGCAAAATGCAAAACAAAAGCAGCAAGTTTAACACCTAAATCACAGTCTAAGCAAAAAGGTTTTGTTTTTTTTCTGGAAGCACTCCAAATTTGTCCAGCCAAGGAAGATCCTTTGTGACTGGTTATGTAGAAAAGTGGCAGATGCTTCTCTTGTGTCTGAAATAGGATCATCAGGACCGGAGAGAGAATGAGAGTCAACTGAGAACGGTCGTTAAGAAAATAATGAGATTTTCCTTCCTTTTTTTTTTCCCCAAGACTCAAATTTCCTAGCTTACCTCATGCAACTGAAGTACTTCAGTTATGAAGTATTTGACATTAACATAGTGAGTTTTAAGGTAATTAAATATTATAGATTTTAATATTGATGGTTGAATTGCAATAGTATATTAAAAATGCAAAAGTGAGGTAGGGAAAAAGGGAGGACATTTAAAAAATGACTAAAATAAAAATCTTGGACTGAAATACCAGTATTGAGATTTGCATTAAAAATGGTTATTTGAAATAACTGTGCTACCTTTTTTTTTTTTTAATTCTTCAAACAGTTCAGTTTCTCACAGAATTGATTCACGAGGTGTAGGGTAAGAGGTTACGAATGCTTGATTAGTTTAAGCAGATTTCTTCAGTATCCTTTGGGAAAAGGATATTCTTTTCTGTTTACCTTAAAACTTGTATATTATTGCTGGAAATGATCATAAAAATCTGCATGCACACTCAAAATTCTTAATAAGCTCCAGGCATGGCACTTAGGCAGGTTGATAATGCTGAATTTTTCTCTTCATTCCCTTGTTACAGAGCAGCAGATTTTCATTTTTCTCTTAAATTCTTCAGTCACACTACTTCAGCCTCAGGGGAACAAGATGCCAAAGTTATCTCTATTCTAGCGGAGGAAAGGCATGAGGTGTTTCAGCTGAAGTGACTGGGAACCAATTCTACTTCAAACAGAGTCAGATGATAGGGTAAAGGTTAGGGCTTTGCTGTTAGCACACCTGCTAACATGTGATGTCATATTCATTTATTTTATTGCAGCTTGAGCCTAGGGAAAGCTGTGGAGTCAGTTAAATGCATAAAGCTATGCTGTTCATAACTGATTGTATAAATTTAGCTGTCTGGTGACAGTTTTTCATGATGTTCAAAGGAAAACAGCAAACTGAAAATACTTCATGCTTGTCACTAGCAGAAATATGATAGCAGAATATAAGTCCAAGTATTCTTTTCTGGTCTTTATGTTGTGAAAATCAAACAATTGAAAGATTAGAAGAAGAGACTTACCCTGTCAACACTGTATGTAATACTCAGCTCTGTGCATAATTTAAATCACAGCGTATGCCAGGAATACCACAGTTACGCTGTGAACACAAAGTCCAGTTCAAATAGTATACTCGCAGCCCTAGTGAGGTTTTGAAATGAAGTAATACCGGCTGCTGTTGAATTCAAAAGACAGATTCCAGCGTCTTCATTACTGAACATCATTCTGTACGTAGAATTGTTGCTTAAGGCTGCTGCAGACATGGATGCTTCTCTGGGTCAAATGTATAACTTTCTGTAGCCACAGTAAGGAAGGAATTTTTAAAAGTAAAAACCTTCAGATGTGCAACACGTCCATATTGTTGTGCAGTTACATTATTCATAAGGTCAACTTTTAAATAATCTTAGGAGAAGGTAATGTGTTATGTTCAGCTATTTGAATGTAAAACATACTAGGAAGCACTCTACCGTAAATACTTGTGGTTAGTTGTTTTCCTGGGTGTTACGTGTTGCACATAGTAGTCTTATGTATACACATATGTTCTCCAGAGCTCCTAAAAAGTAGGAAGAAGACAAGACAGTAAGATGGTGTGTTGGCTTTTAATATGATATTTGCTTTGTTTAGGCCAAGATTGAAAAATGTGGATCGAAGTAGTGCTCAGCATTTGGAAGTTACCGTTGGAGATCTGACGGTCATAATTACAGACTTTAAGGAGAAAACTAAGTCACCACCTGCTTCCAGTGCTGCTTCTGCAGATCAACACAGTCAGAGTGGTTCTAGCTCTGACAACACAGAAAGGGGAATGTCCAGGTCATCTTCACCCAGAGGAGAAGCGTCATCACTGAATGGGGAATCTCATTAAAGTTTATTTCCTCCAGTTTCCTTAGTCTCTTCTCTACAAAACATGCAAATCCATAACTTGTCACCTGTTACCACATTTTCATGACTGATTATTCATGCACAATTGGTATGTTGACTGGAACATATTTATGCAGTTTTAAAAAAAGAAAAAAAGTGCAGTGGTAGAAACAATAATTTAAATGCAATCTACAAATGCTTACAGAGCATTTTCAGACCAACTTTTTAATCTTTATGTATAAAGGTGCCATGAAAATGTGGTTTGAATGTTCATTATGCAGTGTTATTGGTAAGTCCATTTTCACTTTTAGTTTAGTGAATTCTAACACAACTCTTGGAGTCTCTACTATTGGCATGTACTGAATTTAAATTTTTATAACATAGTTCAAGCTGCCTAAATACGTATTATTTGAGAATTGTGAAACATAGCTATATGTATGCAAGTCAGAGATCAACTTAATCAACTATTGCTGCAACAGAATTTTCATAATAATTATCTTCTTAAAAACACCTGCTGGTACTTGGTGTGGTTAAATAGGAAAAATGTTATTAAATAAAACATTTGTATGAATTTTTGCCAATGTTTGACACATTTTACTAGATTACTGTTTCTGAATTATGTTGATGGCGTTACCAATATTTTTTCACACTTAAAAAACACTTATTGTAATGTTTACAAGCAAAATAGAAAATGTTCTAAGCATTGATTGGTTAACCTTACAATTCAGGTAAAGTACGACATTGTCACTGTACACTGGTATTCTATGTTGTGTAACAAATACGGAACCTCAGATGACTATGCATTTGGCAAAAACTAACATTTGGACATAGGAAAATTTGGAAAAGGTTTAAAAATAACAGAAGTGCAGTTCTCGTTTCTGCTTAGTGCTGTTTCCTTGCCCGAAATTTATCTAGTGTCCTATAGCGACTTATCATTTCATTGCAGGAATATCAGATGTTGCACAAGAATAGGGAAATAACGATACTATTAATTTTTTGTTCCTGAATCAATTTATTTAATTTTTATTTGGCCTATTAAAATATAGTATGTCATAAATCACATGAAAAAATTCAGTACCCTACTTTATGGCATAAATTGTCAACATTTATGCACTTAGCAATACACTGACACAGAGCAGAACTATTTACAGTCCCATCTGGTATTATGTAAAATCACCAATAAAATATTTTTGTCAATACAGATTTTGCATTTTTGTTTACAACCAATAAGTGTTTTGATACACACATGCAATCCATGTATAGATTTTAAATTATAGATTCAGGTTCAGTACAAAAGTCCATTTAGCTCCTTTTAGTGAGGTAGTCCACTTAAGGTCCTGTGATTCTTTTCTTTTTTCATTCAAAATAAATATATTTTTAAGCCCATGTAAAAGTTGGATGGACCTTCCTGGTAGTGAATCCAGCCCCAGATTATTACCAATGATAACGTATGATACGTTGTCTTAACAGCTAAAACAATGGATTTTTGTAGCCCCTGACAATTGTGATGTTTGGTGGTTTCTTGTAGTAATGTATTTTTCTGTTTTTAATACAGTACTTCTACAGGCACAATGGTACTGTTCTATTTTGTAAGATGCTAGTTGTAAAATACAGTTAGTTGCATAAAATGAAAGTCTGATGTGATATCTGAGAACATACATACCTCATTCCTTGGTGTTGCTGTTTAAACTTTTTAGACATCAAATGTTAATTATAGGCTATTTCAGATGGATAACTACTGACCTGTTTTATTATGTATTCTGCTTTATCTTACTAAATAGTATGTATGTTTATTGCTGTGACCTGGCCAAATCTTAGTATCTATAAAACAATGCATTTTAAGGTTCTTAAATGTTTTTGGGGCTGGGCTGGTGTTCCAAATAACATACACTAGTTTTTAAAAGAAAAAGACATGCTTCTCAACTTTATTTTTGTATATTTTATTTTTAGGTGGGACTATTTGCAGAATATACTGATGTAATGGATTACAAGAGAGCTGAAACTGTTTAAAGTAAGCAGTTTAATGATAGCGAATCTCATCGCAAGATGTTTTATGAAATGTGTTTCTAATTTAAAATGTAATGAATGCTAACACATTTCAGAATTCCTTGCAAACAAATAATAATCTATTACCAGTAGTTCGCTAAATGGGAAACGTATTTTCATTTAACTTTATGTGAATAAACCACCCAGCACTGCCAACAAGAGGTCTCTTTGTATCTTCGGAAATAAGTAGCCATTTGGTTTGGAAGAAAGGGAGGATGGAGTGGCTTTTACTATGATTCAGCTGTCTCTGGAGAATAATCTAAAAAATGTGGTACAAGTATGGTTATAATCAAAAAGAATGCAGAAAAGTCTCACTGTTCTTTATGGAATAAGACATAGAAAAGCAATTTCTAACCACGGATACAACGCAAGTGAGCTAGGATCTAAAAACTGAGCTGTGGTGGTTTTAACTGAACTATTAAGTTGCTATTGTTTACATTGAAATGATGCCTGTTTTGGCATTAAACAAAGTTAAGATAATTTTTGCCTGTTTGTGATTAAAGGGATGTGACAATACTGACAGCAGACTAGACAGATTCTAAGTAGAATATGGCATTTGATTCTGTTCATAATGTTATAATTTAAATGAACTTCACTTTCACAATTTCTAAATAGTTTTGACTTGTAGTAATCCTAAGTCCTTTTTCTAACTGTAAATATATTTAAAGGCATCTTTACTCCATTTATAAAAAGTGAAAATTTAATGTTGTAATGTGTTTTGATAGCTATTTTTCTCTGTGACTGCTCTCTGCATAAGAACTGTTACTTGTTAAATTCTATATATGCACCAGTCTTCAACAGCCATACATCCTGGGTTGTTCATGAAATGGTGACCCAACAAAGACAAGTGTGATAGTGTTCCATGTCAATGAGTTCCTTTATGTGCTGATTGATTGTCCGGTTTCAGAAAGGAAAAAGGGGGAGAAATAAGGAAAAATTAAGTACAATTAGTTCATTGATAAAGTGTACAATAGTTCAGTCTCTTATCTTCCTAAATCTGCCAGTAATTATAGGTGGTATAAGGAAAAGAACAAATATACCATTGTAGGCTGTGATCTTTTTCTTTTCCTGAAATTAAGTATGTATATTGGTGATAAACAAAAGTTGTTATATTTAATAGCAGGTTAAATTATGCCATATAAAACCTTGATTCTAACAGAAGTGATAGTAAAAAAACACACAAACATTAAAAAACTTTAAAATTCTTGATATTAAAAGTCTTGAAATTAAGACTGATTGAAGTTTTAACCTATTACATGTTTCTCTAGATATTTGATGTTTTGTGGCATAAACTGTAAAATCTCAAAAATTTTTTTGATTTTATAATTTGTGCACTCTTTTAATATTATGGATAGCACATTTTTAGGTAGCCATGTAAGATCAAGTACTTTTTATAATTTGTTTCCACCAGTTCACTGTAGTGTTCAGGCAGGTCTTCTAAACTTGACATGAGTATGGCTCTGCATCTTAGATTCTTTAATTTTTCTCTCTCCTGTCTCAAAAGTCTAACAGTTTCCCACAGTATGCTAATTGATTATACTTTGTTATACAGGATGGATTTGGCATGGAACTGTCTATTGTGTACTTCTTATGTACATCCAGGGTTCTTCAACTGTATCTGCTTGTTTTTTTCTGTCACGTGCTTTTATCTGATGCTGCTCCCTACTAGGGAGTCTGGGTATGCTTCCTTTCAAATATCAGAAACTATATGGAAATAGAAATGCAATTAAATTAAATTTCTCCAAAGGCAGCAGCAAGTGCTGCTTTTACTTGTAGTAAATTTGGCCTGTGCTTACTCAGGAATAAGATAGCTAAGGTAAAAAGTTTATGCTGGGTTTGGCTGCAAAAATTTACAAATGCGTACTTCTATTAATGTTAAGATTTGGGTGTGCTGGAAATACTGTTTGAGCTTTCAGAGGTTTTTCTTACCTGAAATTATGCCCCAGCTTCCGTCAGTGCAGTGTCAGTTGGAAAGGGTGTCACTTAACAGACTAGCAAAAGCTGTACAGTAAAATCAGTCAAACTGAGGAAGCTCAGTGGGTTTTCTTTTGTACTGTCAAAGTTTTAACAAGAGGAGAAACTTTCTCCTATTGTCAAAGAGACTCAAGATTTGTCTAATACAACAGTCAGCTTAGTTTGGCATCTAAAGAAGAACCCATGTTTTAATAAGAATTAACAGGATTTAACTACTAAATTAAAATTGGAAAAGTACTTCACAAGTTAATTTCAAATCAATGCTTTACAGAAATTATTGTGACTTCCTGTCTAGGTGGATATGAATGGAGGAAATGGTGCCACAGCAATGGCAGCTGCACACTGGCACGGTATTATCCATCAGCAAGTGATGTTTAAATGACTTTCCTAAGACATTACACAAGAAGATTGGGATATGTCTATGAACAAGGCCTAGGTGTCCCCTCCGCCTAAACTATACCATTGGATTCAAACAGTGAAAGAAAATACAGCAAATGAGTAAATTATTTTCAGATCCTAGAGTCTTAGTAATGCAGGAGCTGTTTACAGCTCCTGTCTAACTGTATCAGTGAAAATTAATTGAAGCAAACCACCACTGTTTAAGACTTAATCCCTCAGGAGATATTGTCGATCCTAATCTTGCCCCTTTTATTATGGGAAACAGGTAAAAGTCATCTGAAAGAACTTGCTCTGTCCACTCATGCAGGATTTTAAGAGGAGACAGTTTCATGTGCACAGGAAGTTTTAGCTGTACTTTTAAGGAGCTAAACGTGGGAGATGAAGGGCAAAAGCAAATTCCATAGTTCAAATTAGTATTACTAAGATTGATCACAAAAGATTGCTGTATCATTCGGGGTTTGTAAATGACAAAATCGTAACACTGTCTTAATCACTCCTTGTCCCGTATGTTTAAAAAGAAAATTGCCAGCAGAAAAAATACTGTTCCAGTAACAGTAATTTAAAGAAGAGTTCCAAACTGTTAATTATTTTGTGGAAAGTGTTGTGTATCTTGACATATCTGAGCAAGAAGCCCTTCAGGACTACATTTTCAGGATCTAGGCCACCTGGAAAAATGTAATCTTTCATTACACTATTCTTTGTGTATGAATATTGGTCTTAGCTTGCAAAGTGAACAAGCTCCCTTAAACTTTAAGATTTTAAGAAATGTGGCTTTAGACCAGTGGAGCTTTACCTTACAATGGAGTTACTGAGAAGGCAACCGGGGGCAAGAGAGTATTAATCTATTTTTTGATAACCTGATAACCATGTGTTCATAATTTTCCTCTTCTGTATGAAGAAACAAAAGTTTACAGAAGAAGGAAATATATGTAACCAGGGCTAATGAAATTTGGCTCTTTACCCCCATCCCAAGCTCACTAGATTCTACAAACTACAAATTCTGTTTGGTTCAAAGACAGTCGCGGGTACTTTGTCACTAGCAAAGGATGGAGTTGTTCAGTCACTTAGCATCTGTTAGTTAAGACAAGTGAGTGGTCAGGCTGATTCTACTTTCTGAATACCCTCTTTAGGAATGCAGAGATATATTTTGCTATTTATATGCATCTAATATATAACTACCATCCATGAATAATCTATTTCAAGCTGATCCTTCTTTGCACAGAATAAATCAAAATGCTTCAATGCCAAGCCCAGTTCCTGACGGCACAGATCTCTGAGCAAGAAAATCTGCCATCTCACTGATCATCTCTTATTGTAACAGCCTCCAGCTATGAATTAATCTCTGCAAGGGAAATCTCTTAAGATTACATGTATTTGTTGAGTATCACTACTCCCACCTCTGAAGGAAACACATTCCGATTCCTTCTTCTCTCTCTCTCTTCTTCTTTTTTTTTTTTTAAGTGTATCAGTAGTATAAGTGGATGCAGTGAGTTTGAAATAATTTATTATGCCTGCATTTGTAAGTGGGGAATTTGGCTGCTGCTCCCCGTTCTTTGACTATATCTTGGTTCCTGTAGACCAACAGTGGTATATGGAGCTCAGAAGTCATCTGTCAATTTTGTCGCTGTTGTCCTTGTTTCTATATGATTGACTTACCAAACAGCTTCTTGCTGAGTGAACTTATTTACACGAGTCCTGTACCATTCGAGCGTTCTGGCTGAGGTGGCTGGCATCCTGGGATGCCAATTACTGGTCTTCATCTCTGCATTTCTGCAGATGGTCTGATTCTATTGCTGGGAGGCTTCCAAACGTGGAAGAATAAGCAAAAGGCTTTCCAACTGATCGAGGCGTAGTGTTGCCAAGTAACTTGCAGTACCTGGAGGCTTTTTGAAAGGTGCAAGGAAACACTTTCTGTGCCAGCTGGAGAAAGAGGACTGAGGAGCATGCACAGATACTGAGCAGTTTCTCAGCTTTCCTACAGAAATTCTGAGTAGCTTCTGTTTATGAAATGTCAAACACGTTAAAAAAAAACCTTTCAGTCTAACAAAAAGAGGATAAGGGGGGGAAATAATTATTCAGAATAATACCTAGAAAAGCCGCTATATAATGGTTTCTTCGTGTGTTTAGTATTCCTTTCTCTGTGAATTGTATTGGAAGTAGGCAGCATCCCACAGTTCTTATAGGTGTGTGTTGCTTTATAATTCTTGATACCTGTTGGTTCAGTGACTTTTGGCCTAAAGATAGATGTAGGTTTTTGTGAATTTCATAGTAAATATCACGAGGGTTTCTCTTGGGTACAGATCATTCATTGAGAGGGCAGCAGTTTTGATTAAAGAGCTAGTCAGGAACAAAATAGATTCCTCTTATACATTTAGACACTGCCCAATTTTAAAGGGTCTGATTCCTAGACTAC